GTGTGTGTGTGTGTGTGTGTGTGTGTGTGTGTGTGTGTGTGTGTGTGAGTGTGAGAGAGAGAGAGAGAGAGAGGACCAAAGCTTCTGTATATTTGGGTAAGGGGGTAGGCATGTTAAAACAACTGGCTGCTGTTGCATACCAGAGCCCGTTGAGACAGTGGAGGTATGGGGAGATACAGGGCTACATATGATTCCAATTGATCCACCCTCACATTCCAGTCACTCATACAAAGCAGACGTGGAAAGTTTTAATAGTGTACTGGTTTCGCAGAGTTTTGTTCTCCAGGAGCTATATTACCTGCCTGGGTTACCTTGCCTTGAGGCCAAACAGGGGCCTCATGTTTTCAAGAAAAGACCAAAAAAATGTGACCTGACAAAAGAAAAAGAAAAAAAAGGTCTGGATAATCACAGAAACCGATAACTTCAGGTTCACGGATATCTGGTCAACACTGGATCCCCAAGGCTGGAGAGAACAGCTTGGTGCCAGACGATTTGCTTCACTCCCACTCATGGTTTAACTCTGTCATCAACTCTTTCTGCCCCTCTCCCTCTCTCTCTCTCTCTCTCCCGCATCAGCTCCTGGCAGAGGACTGGCCTTTCGGCGTAACTCTGTGTAAGATGGTTCCGTTCGTCCAAAAAGCCTCCGTGGGGATTACAGTGCTGAGTCTGTGCGCTTTGAGTATTGACAGGTAATCAGGGTCCCAACCAATGGACCGCCTGCTTTCATTTTCTAACGTGACGTAACAGTCATAGGGTTACAGAAACATTGTCAGAGCGGTGACTTCTGACCTCCTTGCCACCGGCTGCTTTTAACTTTGCTGATCGATACATTTACACTCGTTCTGTTGCACTTGTCAAGCTTGTCTGGTTAGGACTGTCAACTACATTGTGAGCTTGGAATAACGACTTTACTGATATTTGTTATCAAAATCGAGTTATTTTTATATTCCTATTCTTTAGATTACTAGCTGCATGGTGTTGAATTTTTTTTTTTTTTAAAGCTAGAATATGCTGTTCAGTTTTGTCAGTTGGGATAAGTGAGGGGTTTTTGATACTGTAGTTATTTGAAGAATTGTGTAAGATTTTGAAAATACATTTATCATCTTTAATTCTTGCAGAGACCACTGTCTGTACGGTAAATGTGAAGCTGCAGCCAGTACAATGTTAGCTTAGCTTAGCTTAGCATAAATACTGGAAACAGCTAACCTGGTGTATAAAATAGCACGTTGTGGTTTTATTGAGCTTTAGAGGTCCATGCTAGCTCAGTTAAGTTAATTGGCTGTTGGCATTATTTGCCCTACAGACATGAGAATGGATCTTCTCAGTAACAAAATGAATAAGTGTATTTCCCAAAACATCAAACTATTCCTTTAACTAATGGTAATTTGTTGGTTGACTGCCTGCACACGTTGGATCTTCCAGGTATCGCGCAGTGGCCTCCTGGAGCCGCATCAAAGGGATCGGCGTTCCAAAGTGGATGGCTATCGAAATAGCGCTCATCTGGATAATATCCATCGTGCTGGCTGTGCCAGAGGCAATAGCTTTCGACATGATCACCATGGACTACAAGGGAGAACACTTGAGGATCTGTTTGCTGCACCCCATGCAGACAACCGACTTCATGAGGGTGAGCTGTGACACACATACTCATATAATTCAGTGTGCATAATACACACCGACACGTACAAACACACAAGGAGATGCAGATGTATGTGCGTGTTGGCTCGCACGCCGACCCGTCTATGAATTTATGTGCATGCTTACCATATTGTGAAAGACTTCTTGGCTATATTGGGGTCACATGGAGTTTACAGACGGCGAAGCATCGTTAAATAGAAAGAAATATCACAGGAGTTATCGCTTTCTTGGCAGGAGCCTACGTGTGTGTAACGTGTGCGTTCACGTGTCTCCCATCGACTTTAAAACAACAACTGTGAACCGTTTTCGATTACACTGAGGTACTTTGATAAATAGATTTGTAAATGAAAGTCAAAAAGTGAATTTGAGACACACCCTTGAGTCTCACTCCGGTCCAGGTCAGACTGGGGATACGTCCCTTAAATTCACTTCTGACATGTTTCACCTTTAACTGTGAGCTCTCTCGTACAGATGCTGGCGCATAACTCATCGCTGTTCTCCCGTTTCCTCTGTGCAGTTTTATAAATCAGCGAAGGACTGGTGGCTGTTCAGTGCATATTTCTGCCTGCCGTTGGTCTGCACTGCTATTTTCTACACCCTGATGACCTGCGAGATGCTGAGGAAGAAGAATGGAGTCCAGATCGCTCTCAGTGACCACCTCAAACAGGTTCGCTGATGGCTGACGTGTCATTTACACCATTTTGTTAGTGGCTAGTGACTGTCCTCACATTGAGCGTTAAAAGAGAGTTAAAATTAGATTTTTCTTATCAGTGGCAGGGCAAACACAAAACTGACCCATGGGAATCTTTTATATTCAAAACTTAACATAAGACCATTCACACATTCACAAGCGTGTCCAATTGAAGCGATAAAAACTACAATTGGGCCTTATTGCTCAACTTGGCAATTTAATGTACTCCATTTGTTTTGATTCATGAAAACAAAAACCTTGAGGCAAAAACTTTCCAAGGATATAAAACTTCTTTGTGTACAAATTTCACCATGTACACTATCTGTCGGTACAATCAGTTACTACATAGTCGTTAAATGTTTATGTTTACATCTGTTCTACTTTTTTGTTGTCCTTGTTTTTTACATTTTTTTCCACTTAAATGTAAATTCTGTGTATGTACGTGGAGAGCAGCGAAAAAAACGGAATCAAATTCCTTGTATGCGTACGCGTACATGGCCAATAAAGCTGATTCTGATTCTGATAACTAGACAGTGATTTATGTGTGTTTGTGTGTGTTCAGCGAAGGGAGGTGGCTAAGACAGTGTTCTGCCTGGTTCTGGTCTTCGCTGTGTGCTGGCTGCCTCTCCACCTCAGCCGTATCCTGAAGCTCACCATCTACGACGAGAAAGATCCAAACCGCTGCGAACTGCTCAGGTATGGAAGAAAAGCCATGTTCCACAGTGCACAACATAGAGGACAGATTAGACATGACAATTTAGAAGAATAATGAATCACCCTCCAGGCAGGGAGAGGTAGAAGACTAATGTGTCTCTGTAACTTGTTTTAGTTTCTTTTTGGTGTTGGACTACATTGGCATCAACATGGCATCCATCAACTCCTGCATCAACCCAATCGCCCTCTACGTGGTCAGCAAGCGCTTCAAGAACTGCTTCAGGGTAAGGTGCAACTTAGTTGCCAACAATTGTGGTTATGCAACTTTGTTGGTCGGGCACTGTAACTTCTTGTGCTAAGCTAAGCTAACCGGTTGCTGGCTCCAGCTTCATATTGAACTGACAAACATCTAACTGTCGGCAAAGAAAGAAAAAATGCACTAAAATCACGTGCGGCCAGCGACAAAGAAGGGAGAAGGTCAGATAAAAACATACACAGAGGGAGACATTACTCCACTATATCTTTGTGTAACTGCTATAATAACGTTCAGAATCTCCAATACAGCTCCTTTAAGGCAATAACAACAACAACAAAAAAGAAAAAGAAGGAACTACTTGTTCCTTTCTTTTGCCGTATGTAAACGTTTCTCTCAGCCTACACTTCATAATCCCTCTCACCACCTTCCTCCCTCCTCTAGTCCTGCCTGTGCTGCTGGTGCCTACCGGCTGAGATGTTGATGGATGAGAAGCAGTCGTGCATGAAGATGAAAGTCACAGAACGAGCCTCCGACCAGAGCAACTCCCGCTTGACCAACAAGTCCACTACCGCCTGAGTAAGAAAGGAGTAGATATGACAACAACAAAAAAACAAAAAGAAATATTGAAGTGTGGATGACTGAATGAGGATACGCGCTTATTCTTGTTCCATCTACAGCATCATGTGAAGTCTCCATCAACTTTTAACCAACGTGCTTTTGGAGATCAGATCTTACCTAAAACTCTTTTTTATACTCACACTCTCCCTGTCCAAAACGAAATAAGCAGCAGTGAACTCCAAAACACTGTATTCTTGGACAAGAGTGAGACGTGTGTGAGGCAGTAAAACTGCCGTTCAACATACCAAATATCGAGAACTAAGGCCGGGCAAAGTTCAGCACAAGTGTTTTATAAAATTGGGGGTCAAGAGTCGATTAGCAAAGACAGCTCATCAGGCTCTCGGTCTGGCGGTTACTTTGACGCTATGAATCTTGCAATAAATTACGCATTACATTCGAGTGCGACGCTGTGTTCCATGTTGCTACCACGCACTGCAGCGGCTTGGAAGAGATTAAATCCAATGAGCTTGTTTGAGATTTGTTTGCGTCATTTTGTTACGTATTTCTTTGCATGTATGTATGTATTGAGAAATTTTTGCATGCTTTATTGTTTGTTACTTTAGTGCTGTAAGAGCCATATTAGACTTGAGATGTGATTCAGTAACGAAAAATGTTGAAATGCTCCTTTAGTTCGGCTACTGACTACGTCATGGCCACCAGCCCTCAGTTGAGGTTAATGGGTCTGCGGATCAAGACCGTTGTGCCAAGTTGAGCACATGTTACTTTATTGTTGAGTAAACCTTTAAAATGCAGTTACTGCCTCTGTGGACTCATTTGGAGTCAAGTTTATTGCCAATACACAGACTGTAACAGTAGCGGTAATGTGGATTACCGGACAGAGAGAAGATTGCCGATACAAGTGCCTTTAAATGTATCGTCTCTGTGCCATTTCCTCACTAGTTATTGAACTACTGATGTTTTCAAGCTGTGCAATATCAGCTGTGTGTCCGGTCTGCTATTGTATTATACTGTTCAATATTGGGCCTGTTCTTGAGGCTTCCGAGTGTATTTGCTCTGCATTATCTTAATCTGACTACTTACTTTAGCTGGTATGACAAGAGGTAGGGGTTTCTTTTTGAAATAAATAAAAGGAATATAATAAATAAGAAGCTAAGCACTTGTATACTTTTCAAAAGAAAAAAAAGAAGTGAAGCATAGATTTGCAGGCAACTATCTGCTCAGAGACACAGTCACAATCAATTATGACTGTGAATGTTCTGGCTTTGCCTGTTATCCTGGCCTGATTGTGTGTGTGTGTGTGTGTGTGTGTGTGTGTTTGATTTAAGTGTGACGGCAAGCAGCATCATATGATGGGGAATACTAAAACAGAACATTACTGTGAACTCTCCATTTTCCACCAACTTCTTCACTTCAAACACACACACACACACACTGAATGTTCCTTCGGGCTAAACCACTGTCACGCATGTCATGTTAGCTGTCAAAGGCGCTCTCTGTCCTGTGATCTCTCACCACCCCTTCCCGACTTGTGTCTTCATCTCCTCTCCTTGCCTTCACTCCCTCTTCTTCTTCTGCCTGTTTCTTTGTTCTTTTTGAGGGCCTCTTCCCTCTGCTCTCCCCTCGTTTCTCTTCCCTTTCCCTCTGAATTCCTGTCTCCACTCCTCCCAATAACCCCTCTGCCTTTATTCTTCCATTATGGTTTCAAACAATTCAGTGTGGCTGGAAATTGAATCAAACCCAGTGCTGTAAGTGGCCTTAAGTGAAAGAAATCACATTTAGCACATTCCTCTCTAAATTATTCCCTTTTCTACTCCCAACTGTGTTAAACTGATGTATCTGCTTGTGGATACAGATGTTGGCCCTCTACTGATGTGATTGATTGTCCTCTCAGATCCCTGCTACAAAAAGAAACAGCCGTAAAAAGTTGCAAAGAAAGTAGATGTGGTGCAGTGAGCTACTTACCGAACATACTATAAATCAAAGTGTAATCAGCTCAGGGGCAATTTAGAGCCTCCTTTTGCTCCACAAATGTTGTGTTTGAAAAGAATATAATTTATTGGCCCAGGCAGCGTTGACTTATGGTGATTTAAGAGGCTGTAAGAACAGTTGTGATCTATCACAGAGTTTAAGATAACACTTATAAGATTCACTGAGTCAACCTGCATTATGGTTCGACACTTTGGGAAATGCGCTTATTTGCTTTCCAGCTGAGAACTACTTGAGACTATTGATACCACTCAATGTATGTAACCTGCGATAAATGCGCCACCGCGAGCAGCCTGTTAGCCTCTAATCTGATTTAACCCTGTTGAATATGTACAAAAGCCAGCAGGTTGTGGTTTTTACGAGTTGTTATGTGACCATTTCTTGGAAGGGCACAGTAGCTCGCTATGCTAAGCTTAGCAAACCGGCTGCTGACACCGCTTCTTTTACCAATCACAGTACGCGCTCTGGAAACGGACTGAAAACAGCTAGCCAGGCTCTATCCAAAGGTTAAAAAAGAACTGCCTACCTGCACTGGTAATTGCCACTGTGTCTTGATTTGTTACTTTGGTCTTCAAGGGATCAAATAAACTAGATATAACATGTTAATTTGGAAGCTTTAGAAATACTGGGAGGCAGATTTTGTTAGCTTTGGATAGAGACAGGCTAGCCGTTTCCAGCTGCTCCCAGTGTTTATGCTAAGCTAAGCATATCTTGGGTGTAGCTTCATTAGCATACAAACATGAAAGTGGTATCAATCTTCTCATCGAATACTTGAAAGAAAGAAAGGAATGAAATGCATTTCCCAAAATGCCAAACTATTGCTTCAGAGGAACAGTGCGGCACTTTTAACTTTCCATCTAGACTTCCACATTTAATGCCAGTAAACTCTGCCCAGTTCAGCCAGAACTAATATAATGCTACAGCAGTCTATTGTAGAGAGTTAATTTCACTTTTATTGCTATGAAGAGCCAGAAAATAGAGGAAAACCTGCAGCAGATTGAATGCCGAAAGGTTAATGAGAGATCATTAACCATTTAGCAATAAAAACTACTGTAAACTTTTGATAGACTTCTCTGCGCTCAACACGCAATGTGGACTTCTCTTTTTTAACTGCGTTGAACATCGGGACTGTATGTCCTTCTCAGCAGACAGACATGCGTGTGCAGTACATTTGGACACCACACATGCACGAACAGGCCACATACCAGTACACACAGTTTGTTTTCTCCTCCCTATAATTTCCGAGGCCAACCCACAGAGCTGGGACATGGCAGGATTGGAGGGTCGATGTTGGGTTTTGAGTCTGAGGGGTTGGGGTGTGAAAATACCTGGTTTGACCCCTGTCAGCTCTATATCCAAACATTCTTTATTTGTTTTTCTACCCCAGCAATCCACCATTCAGCATATTTACACAGCATGTTCAGCAGACAAGTGCCAGCGAACTACATTCAGAAACAATTATCAGCAGTTGGTTGAACATGATGTTGAACTTAGCATTCAAATATTTGACCGGCAGTACTTGCTCCTTTTCTTAACCTTTTGGTGCTCGTAGAACAATCCTGCATGGCAGACCTATGCAAACATATAGACACATGTAGCTTCATCTGTTATCCAGATAAAGCTCTCACTCCTGTCTCTTTCACCTCAGCTGAATGCACTGCATCTGACAGAAATACCTTGAAATACCTCACACAGTTCTTGATGTGCAAGACTTGCTGGCTTCCTCCTTAGTTTTAGAATATTTATGCAAGATTGATAGCACAGGGAGGAGAGTTTTCAGTTGGGCTTAGCCCTTCCACTGATATTTGGGAAGAAAACATGCTACATTATGTGTGTGTGTAGTTCAGCCATGGAGATACTTCAAGGGAAAAATGTTGAACCAAACTCAAACCAAAAACCTCACGCTGCCGAAGAGAACACAAAGCATAAAAAGGGTTTGTGAGTTGGAGTCTCTGTATTAGTGCATGAGTGAGTAAAAAATGCACACCACGGTCCATGAGAGTGTGCACGCGTGTGAAAAAAATGCTCTCCGCAGATTTGAAGTGCCGTTTTCTTTTTTGGTCACACGTCATTGATTTCACACTTCAAAGAAGGGTTGATAAATGACACAAAAAACGCAACTCGTCACTCACTTTCACAGATGTAGAAATGTCACACACTTGAATACATGCAAGCACAAACACACACATTCACTTGCAGTGCAGCAGCAGAAGCAGCAGCAGAAGGTGAGCAGAAGGAATTCATCAGACTGACGTACCGTGGACTCTGGAGCGCTTCTATCATCCATCTCTCCCTCAGTTCTACATGCAAACTTTGTGCCACAGTCCTACACTGTTACTGTACCTCCCCCGTAGTGCTTATCTGGCCAGAGTGCGCAGGTCGGTCAGAGACAGCGGTGCAAACGTGACGGTTGTCATCATGTAGCTTACAATCAGGTAAATATGCAGATGTTTGCAGCTTGTCAGTGAGGTCAAATTAAAGCCATATATAACAGACACATAAGGGCTATAACCAACACACTTTCAGTGTCAATCAAGCTGACAAATATCATCACCTGTTTGTAAAATGTCAGAAAAAAAGTTTGGGTGGTGAGAGGAAATTAACCTTTAGTAAAAAGCCGCCATCTTGCACCGCCATATTTCTACAGTAGCCCAGAAAGAACAAACCCAACAGTGGCTCTCGGGCCATTTGTGTTTTCACGTCCGGCCACCGTAGTTCTCCTCCACGCTTGTCACACGGGAGAAGTTTCAGTTGGCTGCAATCTCCAACCTCACCGCTAGATGTCACCAACTCCTACACACTATTCCTTAAATAAAACCCAAAACAGAGACAGAACTGTTGTCCTCTGCATGTGTCAAAGTGCACCTTTAGGAACCATGCTGCCCAAGTGAAAAGTCTTTTTGAGGTAATTAATTATGTCATGATTAACTATATCGCAATGGGAAGGCTGAAACAAAATATAATTTTAGTACGAGAAAAAAGTCACACAACCTTACCTACAGCTAAACGAAAACTTTCAATACCCTTCCTCTTTTCTGACCCTGTCTCCTCCTATAGTTATTTTCATACAGTCCCTCATCGTTTCAACTCAACATATGTTTATTTTGGGGTTCATTTGATTACTTCCAGGTAATTTCTCAGAAATCCTACCACCCTCCTTCCCTCTCACTCTCACTCTCACAAACACATATTGTAATAATAAAACCCTACCCTCTGTTGTAAAAATGTTATGGGAGTTCACCTGGTTTTGAGCCAAACCAGCACATTCTTGAAGCTGCCTGCTGTTGCAGAAGATGGGAAAAATGTAGAAAAAGAAATGAAGGAATGAAGGTTATACTTGATTTATTCTGCCTTGTCGGTCCATATCCAGCCACAGATATTGGATGCATAAAATATGGATCAGATTAAAGGTACACAGAACAATCTTTTCAAAAACTCTGTTCGTTGCACAAATTTGAAATATGCAAAAGTTTAAATCCTCACAACCTAGTTTTCTATAGCATGTATTACAACAACACGTCGGTTTCTACTCATAGATCACCATAAGCCCTTCAGTGTGGCTGAACAGACATATTCGATGTAGTGAGTTTTGCCAAAGAACTTATCACACGTAACGTATGACGGTTATGCACTGGGAGCTAGTTTCTCCTACATGACGTTCACAGACAAGGTACTTACGCAACAGTCGCAGCAGTGACAGTGTACAGAGACAGCATGTCTGGCTGCAGAAGGCCCCGTACTCATGAGAGAGCCGATGACTTCCAAGAAGCAGCGGTGACGTTGATCACACAGTCTGTACCAGACCCCTGAGCATCACTGGACCACACTCAGCGACGGCTTCTCATATTAGCTTTACCATTTATTGTTTTGTTTTTTTAAAGAGTGAGAGAGGAAGGACAACACTTGTTATTAAAGGGACACTTCACCCCAAAATCAAAAATACCTTACTTGTAGTGCCTGTAGTGAACTGTCCCTTTAAGGGTGTTGTTGCAGAGCTTTGCCACTAGGGAGCATCAGGGACTGGATAAAAACAGGCGTCTTTTTTACTTTACTGTGCCTGTCTGCAAGTCTTCTTTATTTCTTTGTGTCCCTACTTTTCAGCCTATAAGTACATTTGCCAAACATTAACTGTACCAGGCATAAAACAGAACTCCATAATTACATAAATCCTTTTTGTTCAGTTGAAGCTGACCTACAGGTTTAATATGATACGAGGTGAGATCATCGCACACATCGACTGTATGTATATAAACCAACCGGGCCATTTGCAGATAGCTTGTTTGTCTCGTCTGCTTTACATTGCAAATACACCCGTGTTTACATTTGCTCCGCACTGACAATGGTCACTATGGGTTACCTTGACTCACAACACAGGTAACCAATCAGAACCCACAGTGGGGGCAGTTCTCTGGGAAAAAAAAAAAAAAAAGAGGAAGCAATAACTGGCCAGGTCTGAAGGGAAGAAGAAGAAAAAAAATCAACACAATCCCCGCTGATCAAAAGCCTGTGTGGAACTTCCCTGGTGACTGGGAATTCACGAGAGGAAACTGATCCCAGGTCTGTAAGCAGATGAAGGTTCTCCATTTGCCAAAAGAGATGAGAACCATTTCCGTTCCTCTTCTGGATCCTCCAGGCAGCTGCAGTTCTGCCACAAACAGACAGAAGCTCTAAACACAAGGTAAGCCTTCTTATTGCATGTAAACAGGCCCACTGCTCTGTAGAATGACCAGTACTCAGTGGAGCTGAAGTAAAAAGTGCCAGTAGCTCTTCGGCTGACTTTTGGTTGCATGACATGTGCTGGAGGGAAAGTGAAAGTATTTTTCAGAGGGTGCGTGGGAGATTCTGAGCGTGGCGATTTGACGCACTTTTAAAAACACCCTGCCAGAAAGGTTTAATAAAGAATAGTGTTTCAATGATTTACTACAAATGACAGCTAGCTAAACCTTGAGCACATGTGCACACCAGGAAGAGAAAAAAAAAAAAAA